TAAATTCATATTATATAAATTAAATAAAATCAGATCGAATAAATCCCCACGAAAACAATATATTTAAACACCTATCAATTTTCTACATCAAATTTCCAACAAAAAACCTTTAAATATCAAATTCGATATAAACCCTTTAAATAAGCTAAAATATTTATTTATCATCCAAAAAATATATTCAATATCGAATAAATTAAATTTCAGAAATTTATATAAATCAATATCAAAAATATTCAATTTCTTATATTTATATAATTGTATTAAATATTCATTTTAACTATTTTTTTTAATTAATACATATATATAAAATATTTAAATCAATTCCAAATTTATATATTATTTAAATATAAATATTTAATTAAAAATTCATTTAATCAATATCCTACCAAATCCGGGCGCCGGCCACGAAGCCCGTGCCCTGCCCGGAGGGCCTTCGGTGGTAACCGAAGGTTATAGACGGGCGCGCCCCCTGCCGCCGACCCTCGTCACCAAAACGGGGGGACCACCGAGTCACTGATATCAACGTAATTTACAGGGTTTCGTGTGTGTGAGGTATAAAAACACTGTGTTTTACAGGGTTTGGGGGCCCTCGGCGGCCGAGAATTTCATCTGGGCGATGTCAAAAAACCTAGGTTTTTTCATGGTTTTTGCTTTGCGGGAAGGAAAAAATCGCCAAAAGTTGTATCGGAAGATTTTTTCAACATAAATCGCCTAACATATCCCCAACATAGGCCCAAGATAACCAACAGATCCCCAACATATGCCCCACATAGCCTCCAAGATGGCTCAACATAGGGCCAACATAGGCCAACTTGGGGCCAACAGACGCCAACATAGGCCCAACATAGGCCCAAGATAGCCAACACATCCCCAACATATGCCCAACATAGCCTCCAAGATGGCTCAACATAGGGCCAACAAAGGCCAACTAGGGGCCAACAGACGCCAACATAGGCCCAACCGAGGCCAACATAGGGTTAACGTGCTCAACCGTAGGATCAATATGGGCCCCAGATGTGCTCTTTGTGGCCAACATATCCCTTTACAGGGTTTCGGGCCCCTCGGCAGCCGAGAA